AACATCAGCCATTTGACTTTCATCCAAATTCAACGAACGAATACGATCATCGATAAAATTAAAATGCATGAACGAACGTGTCACTGAGAATTTATATCAGAACATTTCCAAATTTACAGTAATGCGTCACAGTGAGAACTTCCAAAGAAGTGTTTTTTACTTATCTGATATAACTAACAAAAATCACAGCGGCAGTAACCGTTTTTCTTCACAAATGACCTATATTGAGTAAAGAAAATGTAGTAGTTGTAAACTACCACTTCTGTTGATCGCAATTTGTACAAAATATGCCATTGTTTGAAAAAGGCCAAAAAGGTGAACATCTGATTTGTTGAAAATTAAATCGAATTTCACCTATTTTCTGGGAATGTTTTTCAAGAAATTTCGTCAAATTAATTCGTTTTTAATCGTTTTTAGTCCTTTTAAGTCGTATAAATTTGGCCAAAATCGAATATACTTGAATATAATTATCAACTTATTTTTGAGACACCAAATTATCTCTCTATATTTTAGGAAAATGTTTGAATTAGTTTTTTTCAGTTGATAACTTGTAATAGATAAAGCGCCATCTATTAAAAAAAGGATCTGTCATGAAAAGGATCTATTATAACATTACATGAATAGACCGGCAGATGTACACAAAAACATTTGTTTTTTTGTTTAAAGACGTCAAACAATATTATATATTTATTTGATATAATTAAAATGGAACTAATATCAAGAGAAAATGCACTTAAAGGTTCTCATTTATACTTCTCTCTGTTCTTTTATAGGATGATTTATATGGATTTGGTAATTTTATACTTAAATTGAAATTATCTCAGAATTTAATATCGCTTGTGTTATTTCACCAGAATAATCAAGACACTCCGGATAGGATTCGATTGGATATATTTTTCGTTCTTTGTTTTACAAGTAATGTATAATATAAATACAAATTTATATATAAATATAAACATATGATTTTTTAATTTCAGCAATACTTTTGTCATTGAGTAAATTTTACCCCGATTCTTGCTTCCATAACTCTTGGTTTAACAAATTGTATCATGCTATGGTGTGGATATTATGCGAAGTGTGTTCTTTTTATTGGTATTTAATATTTATTGGTTTATGGATTGAAGATGTAAAATTAAACCGTGAAGACTACATACTTCGAATCATATTGCTCATTTCAATCATCCCATCCACTATTTCGAACAGTTTGAATCACATTCTTTTAATTCAACATCACATTTTTAAGGTACACCCCATTTACTTATTCAAATTTTGTTCATTATTTACTTCATTATTCTTTTTATTTCTAGTCTAAAACTAATGTGTACATTTATCTGGTTAAATCAATGCGTTTTGGCCTATATGTGACATGGATTATTTTTATTGGGATGAACTTTCTTTCATTTCGAGGTGCACGCCAATTTTTTGTAATTTTTTCCCAATTTTTCCAGATCGTTTTTAGTATGTGATTCAGCTATCAAATATCTCTCAGATTTTTTCAATATTAACCTATTATTTTTCTTATTTGTTCTAAACAGTAAGTCTTTATTCATGTTGCTTAGTTACTTACATTTCTGAAATGTTTGGGATGCACAGTGAATCTGAACATCAAATCATGTACGTTTCGTCCTCAGACATATCATTATCTATTTTTATAGTGAAGAAAATGATATCGTTAACTTCTTATCCGCTGCTCTTGCCCGAAATGGTAAAATTGGACCCAGAACATGATTCGTTACTTGGGTGTGTATTTGGACTTCTCTGGTTTTCTTATGGTAAGTACAAATCAGTAGTGTCGACAAATATTTTGTACTGAAAATTTCCAAAATATTTATTTTAGTTTTTCTTTCCATAGTGCGCTTCTCTTATATGAATAATATAATACTTAACATTCAAAACAGCCCTCCATTCGTGAACCAATTTACGCTTGAGGATATTATGCAATATTTTCGAATACCCGAAGCTTATTGTAAACAGACAAAGTATATTCAATCGTAGTCGCTTCAGAAACGATGAACATTGTTGACACCGAAAATGATCTGAACTATTTATGCGTATGTTTGTAATTTAAAAAAAATTAATAAAATTCAATTAATTTTATATGAAAAATGTATGTTGTTTTGTTAGCGAAGTTCATCGTATATTTGTCGTGAGATGTAAAGTGTACATGAACAATTGCATAAAAACTTAAATGAAAAATTGATGACAAAAACATTCAATCAAAATTGTTATGCTATATCACGATGCAATAGAGGGTCCAGAACCATACATACCAATTGAATATTCACGAGTCAAGAACCGATTGGCTACTTGGCTCAGCAACAGATCCCGCCTAAATTGGCAGGGTACGTTCTCATGTGAGCAAACGAAACACTTCGTTCAATTCACATGTTCAAAACTCACGGTGGAATTAGCCAAATTTATTTATTTATTTATTTATTTATTCACCGTCTGATCACAGACTGATTTTATCACAATTATTTACAATATGATTTGCAATGAAACACTACCCGATCGAATACCAGCCGCCAGTCTTTTCGACTTCGGAGCAGCAGATATCGACTGTGTCCATTGTATATTACTATTCATAACACAATTTTTCTTAGTCTATTTTACCGAATATTAAATAACAAATTGTCCAATTTAACAATACTAATTCTAAAAATGCTTCGCGATGCTGATTCCAAAAATGTTTCTCTTATTAAATTAAAATTCCTACACGCCACGTAAAATGGTTGACTATGTGCATATTCAGCTGTAAACGTTCTTACTCTAATAAGTTCAGTATTTCTTAAGTTTCTTTGGTTTACGTCATATTGAAGTCTTGTGTAAACAATCTTATCTCTAAGTGAACTCGATACTATTCTACCCAATAAGAGATCGTAAATTAAAAATATAGAGGCATTTATACGCCGTCTCCAAAGCGGTTGAATATTTAAAGTATCACATCTAAAATAATACGGTGGCAATACAAAATTCTCGTCTCTTTGGTAAACAAATCTTAATGTCCATATCACAAAGTCTTTCTGAATTGATTCTATTCTATCTGAGTGTATACGGTGGTATGGCTGCCATACAATACTCGCGTATTCTAATTTTGATCTGACAAGTGCACAATATAATATTTTCGCCGTTTCGATCGTGAACTTATTTTTTAGTGTCCGTTTTATGAATCCCATAGCCGCATGTGCACTAGCTGTAATCGCATCGATGTGGTTGACAAACGTTAGTTTTTTGTCGAAAATAACGCCGAGATCCTTGTGTAAATTGATTCGTTCAAACGTGTGTTGGCCGTTGTTGATCGTATATATGTAGTCGATTGTGTTTCCACCTTTTGAATACGTCATTACAAAGCATTTCTTCAGATTCAGATATAGGCTGTTTTCAGTGCACCAATCATTCAACTGATCAATGGAGTTTTGGAAAGTAATGGCATCACTGGGCGATTGTATTTTTCGAATCAATTTCAAGTCATCTGCAAAAAGTAAGACAAGTGCATTTGACACGGTTTCGACAATGTCGTTAATAAAAATAATAAATAGACATGGTCCCAAAATACTTCCCGCAGGTACTCCTGATGTGACAGTGAAAGTACGTGACTTTCTTTCGCCGATTCCAACAAACTGTGTACGGGCTGTCAAATATCCATGGAACCATTTGACTAGTCGTCGGCCGAATCCAAATTTCACCAGTTTCTGTAGCATTCTTTTGTGGTTGACCCGATCGAAGGCCTTCTCGAAATCGGTGTACAACACATCCGTTTGACATTTTTCGATCATTGAATCCATCGTGAAATTTACCATTTGCAATAAATTTGTTGAGGTTGATCGACTTTTTACGAAACCATGTTGATTGTGGTTGATTTTTGCTTGTACAAATGTGTCGATTTTACTATACACAACAATTTCGAATAGTTTGGCTATTGTTGGTATTATCACTATTGGCCGATAGTTCGATGCGTTGCTCTTTTTACCAGACTTGAATATTGGTACAATCCTGGAATTTTTCAACGCTGACGGAACACATCCTTGATACAATGATTTCCGAAATAGCACTGTTAACGGGTTTGCCAAAGATTGTGCACAGTTCTTCAGTAGTTTCGGTGATATTCCGTCAGGACCGGCTCCTTTATTCACATTTATCGATTGCAATGCCTTCAATACATCGTGTTCATTGATTTCGATATCAAACGAGAGATCACTGCATTCACTCAGCAATTGATCCAAATCGATATTATCGCTCTGTGTGTATTGATTTTCGAAAAAATCAGCGAATAATTCTGCTTTCGACGTTTCGGTGCTTGCTGTTTCATTGTTGTATTCAACAATAGCAGGAATGTCGCTTCTTTTTCTTCTGTCGTTCACAAACCGCCAAAAGTGTTTTGGATTTGATTTGATTTGCGCTTGTATACGGACGATGTACGATTTGAATAGCTGGCTTTGTAAATGGACGAACGAATCAGTGATGGTGTTGTATTCGTCGAAATTGCCAGTCTCCCTTGCTCGCTTGTATGCTTTCCTTCTGACATTTTTCATGTGCTTCAATTGTTTCGTGTACCATGGTGGATCAGTGCTACTTTGAACGGTTATCTTCGGGACAAATGAATCGATCGCCTCTTGTAGAACATTCCTAAGAGTTAGAAATGCATTCTCGAGGTCATCTATTCGATTAATTTCTGACAAAATGTCATTTCCAGCAAAGAATTCGTTCATCGAATCGAAATCGGCCGAGTTGTATGCATATTGTTGCGAAGATTGCGGTGATGTGGACTCGTTTCCATCAATTGTGATTTCGATTTCAATTGCTTTGTGCCAAATGTCGGACTTTATCATTGGTTTAGTTGATTCAATCAACGACATTTCATAAAACTTGTTTGTGAAAACAAGATCCAAAACATTTCCGGCTGGATTCACGATATTTGACATTTGGTGAAAGCCACAATCGAACATTGTGTCAAAAACAGCAATGCCACCTTCTGTCAATACGTTAATTGGCAAATAATACTCACCGTCATCGGCTTTGACCCATTTGACACCTGGCTGATTAAAGTCACCACATACAATTACAATGTCATGTTCGTTGTATGGAATCAGCTTGACGATCTCAGCAAATTCCAAGAATTTTGCGGTTTCATGTACCGACCGAATGTACACAGCAAATACATATATATTGCACGAATCGAACGAAATTTTTACACATACGTGCTCAAGGCCGCTGCGCTCCGATAGAATCAGCTTTTCACTGTTGAATTGGCATTCAACAGCAATCAGCACTCCTCCACCATCGATTCTATCACTTGTGAGTTCCGTCCGATCACCACGATACACATTATAACGTTTGCCAAAATGTTCAATGTCAGTAATGTTCTTTTGAAGCCATGTTTCGAAGAAAGAAATTATATGAAAAGGACACGATTTTGTTGCTAATCGTACCTCATCGACTTTGTCCCGAATTGAATGTGTATTCTGTATATACACATTGATTTTTGTTTGATTCGAGACTATTTTTGGCGAGCTTAGTGTTTGTTTTCGATGCGGTGTCAATGTTCGTTCGGATTTTCGTTCGGTGGTGTTCGTTTCATTTTGTTTGATGATGTGGCCTGTTTGTTCGACGCTTCGGTGGCTTTGATCGGTGGTGATACGGTTAAATCCATCATATCTGGTGACGGTGATTTGCTGATGTTTTTCGAGTTCAATGCCGGGAAAAAATCACCTAAAGTTTTGTTCTGCAAGAACTCACGGACAAGAACATCTTCTTCCCACACTTCCGGATTGATCAAAATATCAAAATCGTCTTCATTTAATTCGATTTTGAACGAAACGAACTTCAATGTGGTGACATCTTTGTCTTTTTTCACTAGTTTGTGCACATTGAATCTCGATTTCTCGTTTACCTGCGTTTCTGCCATGATATAGTCATTGATTTCTTCGGTTGTGGTCATAGGATTGAATCCAGATACCCAAATTGCCTTTTTAAATGTTGGTTTTTCGGCTCGTTTTGGTTTGGCTACCACGCTGAGTCGATGTGTGGCCGATTTTGTCCCTGTTTTTGGTTTTGGTGCATCGAATTTGACATTATTGGCCGGTGCAATAATCGATTTCGGTGAATCCTCAGTTCGTGGTCGTTTGGCTGACTGGTTCGTATTATTTCGCATTACACTGGCATACGAATTAACTGCTAATGGTGTTTTCATTTTTTGTGCGGCGAATTTCGTGTTTTTCGATGTAATCGGTGTGTTCGGTGCATTTTGATTCGGGTGCAAAAGAGCCGGTCGGAGCACTTTACTCGCTATCATTTTCGTTGAATTATCAATGCCGGTTGTTTTTTCGTCGATTGTGTCCAATTTTTTTGAATTTTCTTCAATCACAATGCGGAGCGATTTTATCTCGTTCATAATTTGACGAATAGACATTTTATCCGGTTTCGGTGTTGATTTTGTTCCAAATGACGCGTTCAAATCGTTCGATTGTGTACCGTTTGACGTTTCATTGGCGCACACATTGCAAAAAAATCGAATGTTCGGAGATGAAATTTGGCTAACTTTCAGGTTAATTCCAATGCACAGAAGATGAATGCATCCATTGCAGTTGAAACACTTTGTGGTCTGATCGGGCTTAATCTTTTCTCGTGGACAATCGTCCCTCGAACAATTTTTGTTTGTTGTCATTCCGTTGCTTGAAAAAAAGTCACTGTTTACACAGAAAAGCAACAACAACACTATGATACACAAATGTTCAATTTTTCACTCGCAGTAATATTATCAAAAACACAAGAAAATTACTAAACTTCATGTAATTCCAATAGAAATCACCGTAATGTCGTTAAATATATATATTTGGTTAATTAAAATAACATTCAAATGATAAATAAATACAAAAAACACAGAGCTAAAAACAATAGTCGGTTTTCGCTTTGACAGCTAAACGTCAAATTGCCCAAGGAAGACCTCCGGATGGTAATTGGTTTACTTACCGGGCACGCCAGGGTCAATTCTCATATGAGAAATCTAAATCTCAGAGACGACCCGGACTGTAGACTGTGTGGTGGAG